GACAATACAATGTTTCATTGTGGGGTCTTTTAATCTGGCCTTGCGCTTACCTTCAATAGAGATCACATGCTCGCGGATCTGGTTCTGGAGGGCCAGGTCATCGATGCGCTCGATCAGGTCGTATATTGCATAAATGTTCGGGTGGACGGACTCGAACCGATGGATCTCGGCTCTGATGGCTGCTGAGTTGGACAAAACAAACTGGGAGCCCGACGCGCCGGACTGCGCTGCAGGGCCCGATACGGTTCCCGAGCCAAACTGACCCGCCCCGGAGCTCCCAGACGATCCGGATCCGAACTGAGGCGGAATCTGCTGAGGAACTGGCATCGGTGCGGGTACCGTGCCTGGGGTGGGCATGGCGGGCTGGGACTGCTGAGAGATACCGGACACTGACACCGAGACCGGGACGCTCGACTGGTAATTCATCGCTGTGGATCTGGGAACCGCTCACGGGAATAATAGAAACGCCGCGTTTGGAATGATTTGGAGAGCGCGCCAGGAATCCGTACTGCACACTCTAATCTGATTAAGAATGAGAAGAACAACTATATATGACGCATCAATGGGTTTCCAACAATCCGCGCGCCTTGCTCATAATACCAAAACTTCAATCATCATCATTGTTCCCAGCGACGAGCTCGCTCTTTTGCGCGTGTCCTGTCCTTTTTTGACAATGAATGTCTTTCAGATGGACACACCTTTGTTTTGGGCGATCTTCTGGACCGAATCTCTCTCTGTTTTGCTTCCCAGCCTGAAGCGAACACAATGAGGCCGGTTATCGCAATGCGCCCGAGTCCATTGACTGACTGAATGCGACGGTTCTACTCTAAAGTCATAAACACGTTTGAATCCTCTTTTGGTCCAAGAAGTCACTCCCCGGCCCCCACCTCCATCCACGTAGATGTGGAAAGTCCGAATCTTTTAGCGAGTCGGTTCAGTTAGTGAACCTGTTCAAAGAGTCGAATGACCGATTATTTTTAGTTATCGCTCAAAAGTGTTTCCAGAACCCCCTTCGCTGCATTTTACATTCAATTTGTACAATAAAATGGCTGATAACACACCTTAAGGTGCTGTCACTTTAGCGATACTTCGCACTCAAAAATGTCCATTGTCTTTTCTCAGGAGCCAATGTAGCCTATGAAGCACAGCTCACACTGAAGTCCTTTTCAAACCAAGCAGATTTATATTTTCCAACATGAACATGAGAAAAACCTGCGTGGACTTCCTGAATGCGCAAATTCATTGAAATTACTGAATTTCACCGCGGTAAACGTGACTGCACATTTAGTCAATGTAAATGGTGATATTTAATTTGATTCTAATGAAAATTAAGGTCTGGGGATAGATGTACGGTCCATTTAAGCACATATTATTTTTAGAAATGAAAACAAGCCTGTTTAATCGTTTGTAGCCTACTGTTGTTTCTATATCTATATATCAGACTCCCACTGTTGTTTTGATTCTCACAGCTTTCATTTCAAATGTTTTGTTCATTTCAGCAACATCATTAGCAATATTGTTCCCTATATTATTAGTAAGTTAGCTTTAATTATGAAATATAGTATAACGTATATTAATGTTCCTATCTCCCAGTGCTATTTAAGTCCTGTACAGTGATTTCCAAACGCTTCGTGAGTCGTTTAAACCAAATCATTACAAAGATTCGGTTCAGTAAAACGATTCGGACAACACTACCATCCTCTGCGACGTCACACATCACGTAACTCTGCTTGAAATGGGGGGGAGTGAAATTCGATTGGATGTTTAGGTGGTGTTGTGTTGGTATTGATGCTTCACTATTATGTAACCAGATATTTTTCTTGACAGTTTAATGCTTATAATTGTTCAGTCCTTCACAGATACACACAACAAGTAGAATCAGTGACTGCTCTTTCTGATCGAGGGTTACAGCCTTAGCAACATTAAAAGACCATAATTTACAGTAGCTATAATAGACATTACATCACAGGCTTGACAGAGTTATTGTTGGGTTTAATTCAAATAAAGATGTGATGCTCTGTCCACTGCAAATGCAGTATCAGAGCATTCTCTAGCATTTATTCTGACAAGTCTAATCCTTGCTTTGAAGTAGGCTACTGTGATGTTACCCTGCTATCAGATAAATACCATGGTATTGAATGTTTACTATTCATTTATCATGGTATTTTCATTTTATATTAATGATAGAATATATGGTTCTGCCATACTATGTGTTCAAATAACATGGTGTAGTATGTCCTAAAAGCATGATGCCATATTTTTAATAGGAGAATCCTAAGCATAAAATTATTTTTAACCTGCATTTGTGGTGTAAAAACTTTCACAGCATTAAACAACCATTGGATAGGTAAATAGCCAAGATGTTGCAGTTTAACCACCTACACTCTAAAAAATGCTGGGTTAAATACAACCCAGTGCTGGGTAAAATAGGGACAAACCCAATTGGGCTGTTTTGACCCAGAGGTTGGGTTAAATGTTTAACCCAACCTTCTGGGTAGTAACCCAACCGCTGGGTCAAAACAACCCAATTGCTGGGTTTGTCCCTATTTTACCCAGCACTGGGTTGTATTTAACCCAGCATTTTTAGAGTGTAATACTGTCAGTATCGATTATTTCTTCCTGGGCTTTGGGTAGATTCCACAGGGTTTGGGATGTAATCCGCTTCATGTTGACATTTTCTTTCACTTATTTTATAGCAAGAAAGACATGCTCTGTGACTTATACAGCTGAAATCTGCACACATAACAATATGACAAATTTGCAAAATTGATGACAATAAATATTTACCTCAAAATTGATACCTAAAACACAATAAAAAAAAAATAATCACAATAGTATTTTTAGTAACAATTCACACAGAGAAGGATTAATAGAGAAGTGTTTTTTTTTTTTTTTTACATTTTCTCACACTGTTTGTGGTATAAAGTTCCTCAAAATTCCTTTATTTATTTATACTTAAGTCAGAGAGTACATAGCAATATAACAGAGAACATAGCAACATAAGATTCATATGTTTATACACATTAGTTTAATACAGACTGATAATATAGACTGGATAGTTCACCGAAAAATGAACATTAAAATTTAGGATTCAAATTATATGATTTTTTCCCCCCAGAATTTGATTGATTTTTATTATTTTGTGTCTAATCTGCAATATTCACAAACATCTCTGTATGTAAGTTGTCTGAGACGTCTGAATTTGAGAGATTTGCTGTGGGCTTTATTCATGTTCCATTTTACCATGAACCCTTACTTTGATCTTTTGAGAAATCTTGCAGAATTAAATTATTCTCACTTGAAACTAGTGAGAATAAAATTCACCAAACTTTATTCATTAAGATAATGTAGATTCAGTGCAGATGAATCTAAGAGGAGACCCACTTTAGATAAGAAAAACTGCTTATCGCTTTCAGCGTTTTAACATCCACTAAAAAATGCTGATATTGCACTGATCATGCAAGAAGTTACGCAACACTCATGAGATTCAGGCAATAAAGCACTGAGCATTTTTCAGCCTTATTTGAACTCAAATATCTGAGTCATTTTTTTTACATCATCTTTGAGCTTCATAAGCTCCAGAATGAAGATATTGAAATGAAGCAATTCATCAAAAGACCTAAACTCCCTGCTGATTGTCATTAAAGGGTCACCCAGGAAATAAGTTATAGCCAGTAGCCCTTATTAATAGTTAATTGGTTAATCCAGAGGGAAAGATTATGGTAATTTTCAAACGATTTTGTATTCAAATGTACCGGTTACGAAATATATTTGGGATTAATCTCATTAGATGCAACTGAGGGAGGGGACATGAGATTTGTCAAGCTAGAATGGTGCAATCCAGTGGAGACATCTGTCCAGACTCCAGAGATTGATTGGCAAGCTTCACTGGGAGCAAGTGACTCAGTTCAGAGCGATTCGAAGTAGTATGTCTCCATCTGTTGGTTAAATGTGGAACTGTAAGACATGTTCTGCCCAATTTTATCACACCTCTGTCATAAAGAAAAACTACTAAAGATATGCACTTGACCCAGAACGTTATTGATGCTCTCTACTCCTCATAGATACAATTATAATATGTTTATCTTGAAATAACTGACTCACCACATTCCAAGCATCTTGTCAGATTGTTATTACTTTCGTCTTCAGGTTCTAGTTGTGCTCCCCACATCTTTGTTAGTTTAAGGAAAGAGCTTTGCCTTGTTTGTTGACATTACTAGAAAATGTCCTCCATCTTTTGTTTTTCAAGTTATATATGTGTGTGTTCAGTATTATTTTTCAGGCTTGTATTATTTGTCTGTAAAAAAAAAAACTTTAGTGAAAACAAATCTAGCATCTTAATGCAACAGTATTGCTTTTGAAATCAGCTCAGCACTCTGTGTCAGTTTATTACGGTTCACTATATCTATTTTGCAATGAGACATCAACCTCCAAATAACATTTAGATCTTGATAACACAATATAGAAGTTCTGTGCAAATATTAAAACTCCCATATTTGTACCACACACTATAAGGAATTTATGGCTGAATTTTGTCTTGCATTATTTATTTTTCAAAGTTCAATTGTGTAAGACACCTCATCTATCTATCTATCTATCTATCTATCTGTCTGTCTACTATCTATCCTATCTATCTGTCTGTCTGTCTGTCTGTCTGTCTGTCTGTCTGTCTGTCTGTCTGTCTGTTGTCCGTCAGTCTGTCAGTCTGTCTGTCTGTCTGTCTGTCTGTCTGTCATCCATCCATCTGTCCGTCTATCTACTTATCTAACTGCAGTGTTGGGGTAATGCATTACAAGTACGTGAGTAACGTAATCCGATTACTTTTTCAAGTAACTAGTAAAGTAACGCATTACTTATTAATTTAAAAGAAAATATCTGTTATTTTTTCAAATAAGTAACGCAGAGGTGTTGTGTGCACTGTGTAAACATGATTGTTACCGTATTAGTTAGTTCTAGACTAAATGTGAACATGCATTTATTCATTTCACTTACACAAAACAGATTTAGTATTCCTCAAAATGAATAAAAACAGTGAAATGCAAACTCAGAATGCGACGCAAACCTGCAACAATGTATTTTATCCCAGTTTTATTAACCAGTTACTTTGCTGCTGACCTTCATTAATCCTATTCAAACATACTGCAGTAATAAGAAAAAATAACTTTAGATAAACATAACTTTGTGTTTCATTCTTTGTTATCACTGAAGAGTGTTGAACTTTCTTCTCCTGCACCCAATTCTCAATGCAATCCAGAATGGCAGCACAACCGAAAGGTTTGCTTGAGCTGTGCCCTTTACTGTACAGACCTGAATTTACATGTCCTTCAGACTGGGGCTTATCTATCTATCTATCTATCATCTATCTGTCTGTCTGTCTGTTTATTTATCTATATGTCCATCCATCCATCCATCTGTCTATATACCTGTCTGTCTGTTTAATGGATAGTTCACCCAATAAATTAAAATTCTGTATAAATTTGTTAAATTACCCACCCTCGTGTCATTCCAAACCACCTGTATGTATGTATTTATTTCTTCTGTGGAACACAAAAGAACATATTTGAAAAATGCTTACTTTTTTGTTTTTTTGGTACATACTATGATACATACAGTGGGGTTCGGTGTTGTTTTGACAGAATTGTCATTTCCCCTTTCTTTTTTCTTGTTATTATAAATGTACTGAAAAATTAATGTATATAGTTTTTCATATTAATCGTGTTTTCATTTGCATCTGCCATTCATTCATCAATTTGTATATTTGTTACAGTAACTGCTTGTTTTATATCAAATAGTGTCTTGAGGACATACAAGTAGGAATTTCACTGTACAGTCTGTTTGTCTGTGCACCTGACGATGCAGAACTTGACGTGACTTGACTTGAAATAGTTGTGTACTGTAACTGAATTTCAGCCCCTCAGACCTTCAAGGCGTTTGTTATATTTGAAGTGCTTTGCATACTGTTACACTAAACCGCACTAGCCTATAAAGTCTCTAGTGAAGGAACACGAACAGGTTGTTACATGTGTTACAGTGCAGTACAGATGGCATTTTTATTGAAACAGTTGCTGATAACACTTTAATTTGCATCACAATAAAGGTGTTTGCAACATGGGAGTAGTAAGCACATCAGGAAACATATTCCAGAAAATAGTTAACATTATACTGAATGTTCACATTCTTGGTGTGTAGAATACAAAGCAATGGCTCATGGGTCCTCATCACTTTCAAAATGGCTTCTGTCCTGTTTTAACCAAGAAGCCCCCTAAAGCACAAGGCAGACAGATTTGCCATGAATATAATATAATGTAATCCCAAGCAGGCTTCAATTTTCATGGAGTATAAGACCTAAAGGCCAAAAAAATGCTTATTACTGTAAGTAATACTACAGTTTTTCTCAGTCGCTTTGGAGCATTTCTCAAATCATCCTTAATAATTGCAAAAAAAGTATGTGTTTTTCTCAAAATAATTCGTACAAACAGCACCACACAATGGATTACCTGCAAAAGCCTGTAACTTACTCAAAATCTTTAGTTCATCTCTCAAAATTAAGTATTTATGTCAATGAACATATCAGTGCCATCAGAATGAAAAGTACTTGTGCCATTGTTCACAAACAAGATAGTCAAAATGCTTAGTTATGTTGTCAATATAACACTGCACTTTGTTAGTATTACTTAAAGTAAATTATGGCAACATTTTGGATGACAGTTACTGTATTGAACAGTATGCCATATGTTACATATGTTATGTATTGTTCAAAAGAATGAGAAACTGCTTTTATGATGTATACAAATGAGTAGATGATGTGGAGGTTGACCAAGTAGTTTTGAGAATTTCATTTCTGATTTGAGAAATGCACCAAAGTGACTGAGAACAACTGTAAAGGTTCATGAGATGCACCTTTGAGATATTTCAGAGAACTGGTTTGTCATTGGTTGGTCTACATTCTCTTCATTAGTGAAAATCAAAATTCACTTGCACAATTCCTGTCAAATTTACAAAAAGTATATTAGAAATGTGTAGAAAACATGCTTGACATTTTATGACAACTAGATCAACCATTTTGCATTGAATGACTTATACAATGAACTAATGACTAGATGCTTTAAGGGGAAAGACTATTGCACAGAGAACTATATAATAGATTTTGAGCAACATGACATTACAGGCTTTTGCAGGTAATCCATTGTGTGGTGCTGTTTGTACGAATTGTTTTGAGAAATGCACATACTTTTTTGCAAATATTAAGGATGATTTGAGAAATGCTCCAAAGCGACTGAGAAAAACTGTAATAATATTGAAGCATATCTTAATTTCTAATTTATATTTTTGTTTTAAATTTTTTGTTTTATTTTTTCACTGAAATGTACAATAAGTGAATTCATTTCAAAATAATTTTCAAAAAAATGTAATTATAATTTAATACATTTTATTATAGTTTAGATTGAGGTAGATATTATACTGTATAAATACAAAAGAATTTTTTTTAAACTATTCGTTCATTCATAAGAACAATGCACAATAATATTGGTGTGATATATAGGTTATATAAAAGTTCAACCAATGCCAATAGCGTCCCTGGATAGGTTAATGTACAACTAAACTTATAACTGAACACTAAGCCATAGAATAACATTTTGTGCAGCATAATTCCAGTCTATACCTGACAGCAGGGGGAAGAAGGTGGAGAGAGTGTAATGTAAGTCGATATCTGCCAAATCCATAAATGAACATTTTAATTTACTTTACTTATAAGATGATAGAACAATGTTGTCTGAGCTGTCAGCTGATTTTAACAGAATGTAGGCTATATGTTATTAGAAAAACTATAAAAAAAGGTGTCATTTATGCAAAATATAAAGTCAAATATTCAATGAAATAATAAATAATAATATGTCTTAACAGTTTGGGTTTCTCAGAACAAACTAAAATGCCAAAGTCAAAATCAAAGAAATACATGTAAGATAAATGTATCGCTTATATTACGCCTACAATTTATTTAAACTTTGGGATATAGATATAGACTCAGTTGTAGGTTATGGTGAATAATAAATAATTTAATTAATGATAAAGACTATTATAAAACAACAAAAATAACCTCTTTAAGATTTTGAAATCTGTTATTTGTCATTCTTTAGAAGTAAACAACATAATAAATAAAGTCTAAAATATTTTACAAATGTTAAAACGGCGTTTTTTCCCCAACATTTGTTCAAACTGTTCCCACACCTTGTCATTACGCCTATAGCCCGAAGTGGCTGATTTCAGATCACCTTCCTCGTTACTCCAGCATTACACAGAATCAAAGCCAGCCTCGAAAACTGATCCCAGACCAGCGCTTGACTGCTGACCGTTGCGCTTCCCAGAATGCACCTCGCTGCGCAGTGACGACAATAACAAAACACAGCAGCAGGAGCGGCAGCATTAGCGGAGCCTTACACAACCCTGCGAGAAAAAAGCTCGATGACAAAACTCCCATCGTATTACCGGCCCTCCTAACCTCCATGTCTTGAAAGATGAAGCACTAATGAATCTACCCCAGATCGTCCTGGATGAATTTGTGCGTTTTATGGAAATTAAAAATAAAGGCCCGCGTTCGGAGTGATGAGCTTTAGCCTGTTAGCCCGACAGCTTCAACCTCTATCTGACAGAAACCTCCTCATCTCAGCCAAAAACACCCTATTAATCTGCTTTGATGCAGAGAATGGACTGAAGACAGCTCAGGTAAGACTGTCTGATACAGATTTAGCTTCCTATACTGTATTGTTGAAGTTTAAAATCAAATACCGGATAATTTGATGCTGTTTGGATCACTAATACGGAATTCTGCCACAAACTATAATTAGACAATGTAAACAAAACCAGGTTGAGGTTGTTGAACGAGGGTTTAGTGGGTTATATCTCGTGTAATGTGATACTGATGAGGGTTCAGCGTCCTGGTGATGGTTTGAGAGAAATTTGGACATACCGTCATCCTCCCTAAATAATGATCAGGGTAAATATATCGTGATATCAATTTTGGCCATATCGTCCAGCCCTAGATCAGGGCCTTTGAAACAAAGACTTGTAGCCTTCAGGAGCCTCCTATTTGGATATTAACAGAGAAATGTTTTAGAAAACAAGCTGTTTGAGATCATATTTTGACCTAGAAGATTAAGTTTCAACTATTTAGGAAAGATGTCAGTCAGTATTGACACATTATAAGTTGTGACAAACAGACTAATATAAATTGTGGTCCACGTTATATTTGATTAAAACAGTATTTTATGCCATTTTACGCCTTAATAAATGGCATTGGTTACCCATGTGGGCCACACAAACCATGTGCTATGCCTGGTATCCACGCCTTATTCCTTGTATCCACAATAGCAGTTGCTACAATGCGTCCTGTCAAAGTTCTACACCCGTTCATGGGAAATTAGGGTATAAAGGTTCTTTTTGATGGTGTTTATCCACAGGGAACGACATGACTCAGCCTGAATATTCCCAGAGTTGGGTCACATGGTCATGCTGGTCTGTGTGCTGTTTTACAGATCTAACCACGTTATGGAGTACAAACAACCCCAGAGATTTATACAATGCTCATGTCATAATCTGAAATGGTTTCTGTTTTGTCAAGGCCTAGGATGATGTCCCTGATCACTGTGATTAGCCGGTTATCTGGGGGTTTTCCAGCTTGCTATCTACTGAAACAGTCATGTAGGGCTGTTATGGTTTCTAGGTTATGTGTGCTTGTACAGATGTCTCTAAAGGCCTTTTAAAGTTTAACCATGTATTAACCCCATTTTGTTCTATGTATTATCATTTTAAGTTAATTAACTCAAGAAACTACAGGCAGAACCATTGTTTGTTTTTTTTTCACGCACTGGTCAGTTTTGTGATTTTGGGCTATTTTGCTTCAAATCATTCTAATATGCTGATTTGCTGATTATCAATATTTAAAACAGTTGAGTACATTTTTTTTTTAGGATTCTTTGATGAATAGAAAGATCCAAAGATCAGCATTTATCTGAAATAAAAAGCTTTTGTAACATTATACACTATTCCATTCAGTATAATTTTTATTATTTTTTTGGGAAAGAAATTATAGAAATTAATACTTTTATTTAGCAAGGATGCTTAAAATTGATCAAAAGTGATGATAAAGGCATTTATAATGTTACAAAAGATTTCTATTTCAGATAAATAGTGGTCGTATCGATATCGGAATTATATCGTATCGACCGAAATTAAGAAATATATCGTGATATCAATTTTGGCCATATCGTCCAGCCCTAGATCAGGGCCTTTGAAACAAAGACTTGTAGCCTTCAGGAGCCTCCTATTTGGATATTAACAGAGAAATGTTTTAGAAAACAAGCTGTTTGAGATCATATTTTGACCTAGAAGATTAAGTTTCAACTATTTAGGAAAGATGTCAGTCAGTATTGACACATTATAAGTTGTGACAAACAGACTAATATAAATTGTGGTCCACGTTATATTTGATTAAAACAGTATTTTATGCCATTTTACGCCTTAATAAATGGCATTGGTTACCCATGTGGGCCACACAAACCATGTGCTATGCCTGGTATCCACGCCTTATTCCTTGTATCCACAATAGCAGTTGCTACAATGCGTCCTGTCAAAGTTCTACACCCGTTCATGGGAAATTAGGGTATAAAGGTTCTTTTTGATGGTGTTTATCCACAGGGAACGACATGACTCAGCCTGAATATTCCCAGAGTTGGGTCACATGGTCATGCTGGTCTGTGTGCTGTTTTACAGATCTAACCACGTTATGGAGTACAAACAACCCCAGAGATTTATACAATGCTCATGTCATAATCTGAAATGGTTTCTGTTTTGTCAAGGCCTAGGATGATGTCCCTGATCACTGTGATTAGCCGGTTATCTGGGGGTTTTCCAGCTTGCTATCTACTGAAACAGTCATGTAGGGCTGTTATGGTTTCTAGGTTATGTGTGCTTGTACAGATGTCTCTAAAGGCCTTTTAAAGTTTAACCATGTATTAACCCCATTTTGTTCTATGTATTATCATTTTAAGTTAATTAACTCAAGAAACTACAGGCAGAACCATTGTTTTTTTTTCATGCACTGGTCAGTTTTGTGATTTTGGGCTATTTTGCTTCTATAACTTCTTTCAGATTAGTGGAAAGAAAACATTTAAGTGTTATATTATTACACACTTTATCTATTTGCATCTGTAGATTTAAATTACAGTGCATATCCTTGAAGGCTGTTTTCTCAAAATGAGTTTTTTTTTTTTTCTCATGTAGTGAGTCAGAAATCTCCACTTTATAGTGCTTAAATACAGCAAACTGTACAGTTTCATTCCTATGTATATTTTGAAGGTTTTACCAGAGAGGTTTGTTCATATGTCATTTCTTATATATAATATTATTTATATAACATTTAATTTCCTAAAAACATGACAATTAATAAAAAAATTTCTGACCGTTGACAGTAATTTCTGATTTATGGAGTGATGATAATAATATCCAAAATGCCAACTCTAATATGTCAACAATATGAAACAAGAGTTTTGAACCTGGCTTGATTAGATTTCTGTTCTGGAAATGTATGCAAATTAGTGCATTTATAATCACACACTGCATCATTTGCATATTTAAACAACATTACAGAAACTTGTAGTGCAAGAATGTTTTTTTAATGTGCTGTGGATAATCAACTGTGGAAAGTATATTAATATCTGTTATAATTTTTCTGTTGTTTTAATCAAAGTAGATACCTTCTATCATCAGTTTTAAGTTCTGGTGTAACTTGACTTGAATTGTGTGCATTTAATTTATTTTTGATCAGACAGCCATAATTGACTAGATGAACAAATCAAGCTGGAGGCAGGCTCAGCGGAGAATTCAACATGAAGTTGTATGTGTTTCAAGTCAACAACGGAAGCACATTGACATTTGACACTGAACTTGCTGTCCAAACGTAAGAGAATTTACTGTTTTTAAGAAAAAGTGAATCAGTGAATGTTTAAGGCTTAATTTGTTTCCACCTTATGTAAAGACTGTTGTACTGTTTTACAGAACATATTGTGTGAAGAACTTCTTGACATTGTTTAACACTATAAGGTTATATACAGTAACATAGTTAATGCACGAGATATCATGAACTGACATGGAACTGTAATTTTTGTCCAGCATTTATTAGTATTTGTTAATGTTATAATTTCATAATGCATTAACTTATATAATAGGGGTGTAACGGTACACAAATATGACAGTTCGGTACGTACCTCGGTTTTAACGTCACGGTTCGGTATGATTTCGGTACAGCAGGGGGGAAAACTAAAC